ACGATCCCACAGAGACACACACACGCTCTCTGATCATGCATCTGTTCCTCCTGCACGCGTGAACGACTCCCGCCGGGCCGCCTTCAGACTCATGAACAGATCCGGAGAGCAAGGAGAGCTCTTGTTCTGACCTCTGACCTCTCAGTGAATCTGAGTCCACATGATCACGTTACGATCTCAAACTCAGGATGCTTTTATGTGTGAAAACATGCAGCCAGCCGGTCCAGTATTAACATGACTTGCACATGTGAAATCTGAAGCGTTGAACTAACTCTCTCTCTCTCTCTCCCTCACACACTCTCTCTCTCTCCCTCACACACTCTCTCCCTCACACACTCTCTCTCTAGGCTGTGAGTGGGCGATCAGAGAGACTTTCTTTGGTAATTGTTGGTAATGAGAAGGAGCAGCCCCTCTGCCAGCTGGTGAGTGTTTGCACAGATTGACTGATATGTGATTTATTCCCCTTTTCAGGCTATATAGACTTTAAATAAAAATTTTAATTCAATAAAATTTATTACATATGCAATATTATTTAATTGCAAGTCAGTGTTGAGAAATCATTACTGAGCATCAGTTTATCACTCCTGCCGTTCAAATCAACGATTTTTAATGTTTTTTAAAGTCTCTTCTGCTCAGCAAGGCTGCATTTTTTTATTCAGAAAAAACAATAATATTATGAAAAATTATTACAATGTAAAACAGCTGTTTTCTATGTGAATGTCTGTTAAACTGTAATGTATTTCTGTGATCAAAGCTGTATTTTCAGCATCATTACTCCAGTCTTCAGTGGCACATGATCTTCAGAAATCAGTATAATATGCTGATTTGCTGCTCAACAAACATTTCTGATTTTTATCAATGTTATCAATATTTCTGTGGAAACTGATACATTTTATTTTTCAGGATTCAGATGAACAGAAAGTTCAAAAGAGCAGCTTTTATTTGAAATAGAAATCTTTCGTAACATTATAAATGTATTTACTGTCACTTTTGAGCGTCCTTGATGAATAAAAGTGTATTTTTTAAAGCGGCACAACTGTGTTCAACATTGATAATAATCAGAAATGTTTCTCGAGCAGCAAATCAGCATATTAGAATGATTTCTGAAGATCATGTGACACTGAAGACTGGAGTAATGATGCTGAAAATACAGCTGCGCATCACAGAAATAAATTACAGTTTAATGTATATTAAAATAGAAAACCATTATATTAAATTGTAATAATATTTCACAATATTACTGTTTTTTTTTCTGTATTTCTGATCAAATAAATGCAGCCTTGACGAGCAGAAGAGACTTCTTTAAAACACATTAGAAATCTTACTGATCCCAAACTTTTGAACAGCAATATATATACAAATCATAATCTGTATGTATTTTTTAAACAATCACACTAAATATGTTAAACTGACAGGCCTAACAACATTTTAAAGCATTCTCCTGTTTTATTCAATAGTGGGTTTCATCAGGGAGCAGCTTTTTTGCACTTCTCACATAGAGCAAGTTCAGAGCAAGTTTATTTTATTTCAAGTAACAAACATTTAAAAAAAAATTTTTTAATGGTTTTAGCTTTGGTTAATTATAATAACCCAAGGGTTTGACCATGCATACATCATAATTAATTAGCAGAGTAGTCATGCGGTCAAACTAGACTTTAAACATCCAAAAATATTTCAGAATATGAAAAAAAAGTATTGACTATATTTCTCTTTGTGCTGAGCCAAAAAAGTCAACCTGCGCAATGTTGAGAATTTCTACTAGCAAACATAGTATCAATGTTTAGATTCAAAAGTTGAAACTGCAATCTTTCCCTTGTAGGCGGGTCTCCAGATGTGTGTGGCTGCTGATTGGAGGAGGCTGTACTGGTGGGTGGTCCTCCAGTGGGTAGTGGCTTTATCAGCGCCCTGCGCGAAGCGCTGCGACTGTTTGCCAAAGCTTCTGATAGCGAACTGTTCATCAAGACAACTGTCTTCCGTTCCCACGGGCGTTCCTGACAACACCCAGATGCTTAACTTGACCGGTAACCACTTAAAGACTCTGTCCAGGCGGCAGTTCTCCGGCCTGACACAGTTACGCGAGCTGGACCTCAGCGATAACGAGCTGACAGGGATCGAGGTCGAAGCCTTCGCCGGCCTGCAGAAACTCCTCGCACTCAGATTATCCAACAACCGGCTGAAGATCATCCCGGTCGGAGCCTTTTCCGGCCTCCCCAACATTCAGTTTCTGGACATCAGCCAGAATGAGATCTTGGTGTTCCTGGACGACATGTTCCGCGAGATGCCGAGTCTCCAGAAGCTGGAGGCCAGCGAGAACGACCTGGTGTTCATCTCCAGCCGCGCCTTCAGTGGCCTGGCCAACCTGCAGGAGCTGAACCTCGACCGGTGCAACCTGACGTCGGTGCCGATCGAAGCCCTGTCGCAGCTCACCGGACTCATGCAGCTGCGCTTCCGCAGACTCGGACTCACGACGCTTCCCAACAACTCGTTCCGCCAGCTGGGACGCTTGCGGGATCTGCAGGTGACTCACTGTCCTTGGTTGGACTCGTTGGCCGCCAACAGTCTGTTCGGACTCAATCTCACATCGTTGACGCTGAGCCACTGCAACCTGAGCACCGTACCGTATTCCCCGCTGCATCACCTCGTCTACTTGCGATACCTGGACTTGTCCTACAACCCAATCACCGCCATCCTTTCCAACATCCTTGGGGATTTGCTACGACTCCAAGAGCTGCATCTAGTCGGTGCTGGGCTCCTACGAATAGAGCCTGGCGCTTTCCGCAACCTCGCATTTTTCCGGCTCCTCAACGTGTCGGAGAACCGCCTGGCGACCCTGGAGGTGTCGGCCTTCCACTCGGTCGCTGCTTTAGAGGTCCTTCGGTTGGACGGGAACCCGTTGGCGTGCGATTGCCGGCTTCTCTGGGTGATGCGCAGACGCCCGTGGTTTCGCTCCGAAGGGCGCTCGCCAGCTTGTGTCACACCTGTGCAGGTGCAAGGCAGGACTTTCGGTGACTTTACGGAGGCTGAGATTCCCAGGGTGTTCACCTGCCGGCAGGCTCGCATCCTTACTCGTAAACCGCAAGACGTTCGGACGGACGAAGGCCATACGGTGTTGTTCTTCTGCGCGGCCGACGGAGACCCGGCGCCGTCGATTATTTGGCTGAATCCCAAACGCTCGGTGCTCACCGGCTCGGGCCGGATTCGCACGCTCGCCAACGGGACACTCGAGGTGCGTTACGCGCAGGTACAGGATAGTGGGTACTATCTGTGCATCGCTTCGAATGCCGCGGGGAACGACAGCATCTCGGTGAGCCTGCGGGTGCGAGGGTTTCCGGCGTCCGCTCGCAACCGCTCCGGATCGTTCTTTCTGGAAGGCTGGAGCTTCGCGTCCGGGCAAGCAGCGGTCAACGGATCGCAGCCGTTTCCGTTCGACGTGAAGACGCTGGTGATCGCGGTTACCATGGGGTTCCTGTCGTTCCTGAGCTCGGTGGCCGTCTGTTTCATCTTCATGTTTTTCTGGAGTCAGAGCAAAGGGCAGATCAAACACACGGCAACTATCAACTTCGTGCCGCGCAGCGCTGCGACGGCGTCTGGAGGCGGACGCACGACTATGGAGACGGGCAGGTTCACCATGATGAAGATGATCTGAAAACTACAAGCATGCGATGTTTGAGGTGCTACTAGATATCCAGAGTTTTCCCATAAGCTTCAGCATGAGGGTAAGATGTATGAAACTTGTCTGAATGTTGGTCACTGCACAATATTGCTTTTTGTCTTGTTTCCCAGTACAAACATTCTTAAAAAGAAGAAGTGAGTGCTTAAAACAAGAACAAATATCTGCCATTGGGACATTAAGAATTGGCTAATTCAGAGGGTAAACAGGATGATTTTTCAGATCTCATTGGCAGACATTTGTTCCTAATTTTAAAGGTGCGGTATGTAATATTGACAGCTAGTGGTTGAAATGAGTACTGCAGTCCAAAGTCATACAATTGGAGAGTTTTCTTCCGCTCCCTCCTCCTCAGACGCGACGCTCACATGGTCAAGTCAAGTTTAGTTGTATAGCGCTTTTTACGATACAAATCTTTGTAAAGCAACTTTACAGAAAATTAAGTTTCTATAATATTTAGTAGTAGCTGTGTATCAGTGGTGACTGTCAGTTTATGTACATATGGCGGAAAAATCAATTAAAGACGTAGTCAAACAGACGATGAACACTATTAACCCGTTTAATCCCAAATTTTTCCCAGACATGAAAATATCCAAATGATGTGTCATTAGTAACCCTTTGAAATAATCAATAATAATTTTTCGCATTTTTTTTGGAAAAGTGTGTGAAAAATTGTTTTATTGAGGACACGCGACAGGAGCGAGCGCAATCGTCAATGGAAGGTGACGAGCCTTAGTTGATTTATCTGTGTTTAAATACGCCTCTGGTCATAAAGCTTTTTAGACGGATGCCGAGGCTCTTTAGGTTCGGGTGGAATCTGCGATCTCTGACTCAGTTCGTTTGCTAGCTTCCATGGCTCGAGTACGTTGTGTTTTCCACCAACTGGCAACCCGGGTTGTCGAGATCCTATTGGGTGAACTGGCAGTGGGCGGAGTCACACAGACCAAAACAAAAACAGACATTCCGACATGGAACGCACATTTCAAAGCAGAATAACTGTCTGGAGCGTTGTTGTTTTTTTTTGTTGAAGAAACAAGTTTGTGAATTTAGCATGTTTCCCAAATATCTGCAAACATATTATGGTATTTTTATGTATTAGCACCGAGCGGCAACCTCCCGCTCTCTCTCGTGAAGCCAACAAGGAAGTGACTTAAACTGTAATTCATCGACTGGCCGCTAGAGGCTGGCTGCAAAAGGGAGTAAATCCCATAGACTCCCCATGTTAAAATGCCCAACTTTACAGCAGAAAAAAACATGTTTACAGCCTGGTTCAAAAAATTATTTTGGTCTATATAGCTAATTTTGCCCTTCATGACAACTGTGAGGGGGGGTGAATTTTTTTATAGCTCCCGCCTCTTTGCCCATTTTCGATTATCCGGGAGTGACGCGCTGCCAAGATGGCGACGGACGGCTCCGCCCACTTTAGGCTTCAAAACGCTCGTCGGAAGTCTACGGGTTACGTCACGGACACTACGTCCATGTTTTTATACAGTCTATGATTAGCAGTCAAAAAATTCCCTAGAGCACCTTTATCCCTCCTATTGTTTCACGGGTCGTTTTGACCCATGTTTGATTTTAAAACTGCTTCTCTAACAAGACTTACATGAATCTTTAGTGTTGATTTGTTTGTGAATTGCATGGAAACCAATGCGGGTCATTTTGAAATGCAACACACAACGGGTTTCTCAGAAAACAAGACGACTTCTGTCATTTGGCATCTCCGGTAAACGTATCTTAATTTAAGAACGTTTAGATATTTGTACTGGAAAACAAGACAAGCATAGAGAGAAGTTTACTGACGGTCCATGCTTTTCCTCTTTTACACTTCTCACGTCTGCAGGACTCGCTTTGGTGTCTCCAGTTATTTGAGTTTATTTCTGCATTGTTGAGTTTGGGTTAAATTTACTTGTCATTTGGATATCACTGTGATTTGCCTAAATTAGATTCCTGATGATCAAGTTTGTAACAATTCAGGTTTGTGAGATAATAATGAGAGTTTGAAACTCTTTTTGAGGCTTTAAATCAGATGATTTTATCATGAGCTGCATGAATGCATGAGTGAGACGCTCTGATCACATTATTAGCATCTATAAACCAGAGAAAGTAAGCGATAATGAAGCTTTAATTGAACAGACAAGAACAGGAGAAAAGATCTCAGGTTAGTTAAACTCAGATTGACCAGCTTCAATCACGTTCAGTAAATCCTGAAGTCATTATATGATTTATTCAGTGTATTAAAGGGATAGTTCACCCAAAAATGAAAATGTGATGTTTATCTGCTTACCCCCGGGGCATCCAAGATGTAGGTGACTTTGTTTCTTCAGTAGAACACATATGATGATTTTTAACTCCAGCCGTTGCAGCCTATCAGTCGTATAATGCATGGCAATGGTAACAAAATCTATGAGAGTAAAAAAAACATGCACAGACAAATCCAAATTAAACCCGGCGGCTCGTGACGACGCATTGATGTCCTAAGACACGAAACGATCGGTTTGCGCGAGAACCCGAACAGTATTTATATCATATTTTACCTCTAATACACCACTATGTCCAACTGCCTTGAGCGCGCGCACGGCATCCGGTGCGTGAGGTGTGTACGCGCTCTGGCGTAGTTTACGCAAGCGCCGGAAGTGATCTCTCGCGCGTATACGTCACTCATTGTTTACACAGTGCACAGTCATTGTAGGTACGACAGCTAATCAAAATGGTACTTACTTGCGCTTATCCGGATTGTTCAAACCGACTTAAAACTAAAAGATTACATTTCTCGCGCGAACTCATTCGGGAGTGCTGACTTTCCACGTATTCCCAACTTCTGAGCCTGCTCGCCTGAAGTTATGGTTGATTGCTCTTCGGCTGGATATCAACACACCCATTAACGTAAACTACACCAGAGCGCGTACACACCTCACGCACCAGATGCCGTGCGCGCGCTCAAAGACAGTTGGACATAGTGGTGTATTAGAGGTAAAAAAAAATGATATAAATACTGTTCGGTTTCCGGCACAAACCGATCGTTTCGTGTCTTAGGACATCAATGTGTCGTCACGAGCCGCAGGGTTTAATTTGGATTTGTCTGTGCATGTTTTTTTTACTCTCATAGATTTTGTTACCATTGCCATGCATTATACGACTGATAGACTGCAACGGCTGGAGTTAAAAATCATAATTTGTGTT